TATTTTTAGAATGTATCTCTTTATTGATTAAAACCAATAATGGCAATGCTTTTTACTCCTTAAATCGCTTGATTTTATTATGTATATTTTTTATAGTAAGAAGAGCAGCCAGCCCCTTCTACCTTACTTTCCAAAAGTTGCATGATCTTGCTTTTACACGAGAATCCTGGGATTTAAAAATATGTGATTAATATCCATGCGTTAAAAGTACCAATATGATAACACCGATATATTAAATGTCTAATATATGTATATATATTACTGAATAATCTCAAAATTATCTCGATGTCTAGTTTATGTTGTTTAAGTTAGAAAAATCGAGATCTATGAATTTTCTAAATTCGATCACAGTATCCTAAATAAACGAACGTATTAATCTATTATTACAAAACGTCGGGAATTATGAACACACGTATATCGCATTACTGCTAAATATTATTATAGAATCATATCTCGTTTAGTAAAGATATATTTTTACTCGATTGCAATATCATTAATAATATTCGTTTATTTTATCTTTGCGCATTCATTACGGGTAGATAAGACGACCAAAAAATCCACCGAAGAGAATGAAGTGCGAGATGACGAAACAGAGATCAGTCGTCTATTTGGATCTGAACAAATGCACATACATCGCTGTCTCAAATGTGGGCAAGAAGCTACAAAACATTCCATCATGTTACTTTGTAACTTGGTTTATCCAGAAATAATTAATCCTTGTAAGCAATTTTCAAGCGAAGCTTCGGCTAGATAGAAAGTGTATCTGGTGTGTAAAATGATTGAAACTTTGGCTATATATTTTCAGACATACTAGTATTTTGAAGCGAAACGATATAAGAAGCAGTTTCGCAGTCTCGTAAGATGATTAAAAAAAATTTTTTTTTAAGTATTCATTTTATAGAACATAAAATCCAACAAAAATGATGATCAACGTTCAAGATATTAAAGTTTCAAACAGCTTACGCACTAAATCGACTTTTCGCGTGACCTTAGCTTAACACGCACATCCACACTCGCGGTTGAATACAAGATTTACCTTTTGTAGCTGAAGAGGTACCGTTCACAAATGTTCTTGCCCGCAGTTTAAGACCTGAGAAAATTACACCCGCATGGTGTGACAATTGCCAGAAATATACACCTACTCTCCAGTCTCGACAATTGACTAAACTACCTCAAATACTGGCTTTAAACTGTGGCTTAGATACTCAGCAGGTACTTACAACATCAGATTAGATGTACAATCATAGCGCACAAAATGTACATACAGAATCAAAGCACGAAAATCTGCGCGTCATGTCCCATGTGTAATTTCCAAAGTCGTGAATTATTACAGGATAAGGCGTTTTGGCAAAATCAAATGGACATCGTGGTGCAAAACGTGTTGACGGGGAAAGAGAGCAGTCCCAGCTCCAGTCCGGTGCCTGTTACCGCGAAGCTCTGTCGATATGGCAATAATTGCACGAGAACTGGCTGTCGGTTTAGGCACGTTGGCCGCGACTCAGGTAGGCAAATACCTCGCGTCGTACAAGTTAAATACGTAGCTCTGAATTAATGTTAATTATCATTTACTGCGCAGAGACAGAAAAATTATCAACGTCATCCTCTACTCCATCTACCTCGTCGACGGCGCCCGTTACATCGCCTCCTAGTCACTTGTATTATCTGCACTCCTGGATACCTCACAACATAGAGATCTCCCTCAAAGAAAACGGGGAGATGTCGGTTAAAAAGATCAGCGAATTGAAAAACGAATCGAATAGCGATACGTCCGCGCAGACGAGCGTGATAGAGAACGGCCAAGATGACAAAACGGTACAAGTAACTTCCGAGAATGCCGGCGACAACGGTGAGGAAAATGTCGAAAATTGTAATATATCATCGAACGTGGAAGACGACGAAGCCGTGAAAAGTACAAATCCGGAGATCTCTTGTAACACTCAGAAGATACAGTACGGTCTCAGTGCTGTAGTCTGTTACATCGATGATAAAAATAACGAGGAGCGGAGGAACATTGTGGCACTGTTACAAGTTGGACCAAGTTATCACGAACGATCGGCAGGCAACGCCGTGTCGCAATGGTACATTTTCAACGATTTCTGGTGAGTCCTTTTAGCATCCGAGAAGAACTTGGTCTACATCTTTAACGTCGTTTATTATTGACGGGCGATGCTTGTTGCAGTATACAACCAGTGACACCGCAGGAAGCGGTATGGTTTAATCTCGATTGGAAAGTTCCATGTGTGCTCCATTACACAGCGATACCTGCACCCGAACCAACACAACTTGTCAGCCCTCTTACGTACGACGTATTCGGAGAAGATAAATGTATCGCTCGCAGTGGTGGGACCAGAGTCATTACATTTACTCCCCTGTCGTCCGACGAAATGCCTAAGAAAGGTAGATTCCTCTGTCATAACAATTTATAATTCTCGATGTGAAATCGATGTATTGTATATCCTAATTATTGTCACAGGCGAGTTAGTAGGGATCGATGCAGAATTCGTTACTTTGAATCAAGAAGAATCTGAGCTGCGGAGCGATGGAAAGATGTCAACTATAAAACCGAGCCATATGTCGGTCGCACGAATCACCTGTATACGCGGGTATGATCTATTATTAAACAGCTTCGTGAACGAAGAGGTTTTAATCCGATCGGATAAAATGCGATAAATACTCGCGTTATTTCAAGTCACAATATATTTTCTTTCAAATAGGCATGGTCCATTAGAAGGTAAAGCGTTTATAGACGATTATATAAGCACTCAGGAACAGGTGGTTGATTATCTGACAAAATTCAGCGGGATCCAGCCGGGTGACTTAGACGCGAACTTTAGTAGCAAACATCTTACAACTCTGAAATCGACGTATCAAAAGTTGAGGTTCTTAGTGGACAACGGCATAATCTTCGTCGGGCACGGCCTGAAAAACGACTTTAGGTGAAATTCTGCTTGACACCTATAGATATAGGACAATAATTCGTCACCTTCTTCTTGGTGATATTTTTCGTTTAAACTTGCGCGAACTTTGCAGGGTGATAAATTTGGTGGTGCCGCCGGAGCAAATAATAGATACAGTTTTATTATTCCACTTACCTCATCATCGTATGGTATCATTACGCTTCTTGACATGGCACTTTTTGGGTAAAAATATTCAGTCTGAAACTCACGATTCGGCCGAGGACGCACGAGCAGCTTTAGAATTGTATCGCAAGTACAAGGAGCTCGAGAGCTCAGGCACGTTGACAGAAACGCTGAAAGAACTCTACGAAGTGGGCACCCAATTACAGTGGAAAGTAAGAAACGAAAGTTCTTTCTTACGTTACTAAGCGTCATCGAGCTCGTCGAGTCTCGTTAAATTAATTTCTTTAAACATTATTTAATTTCAGGTCCCCGATAGCTGATACGAGGATAATATATATAACGATATAGATGAAGAAATCAATAGTGATAATAACGATTAGATGATATGAATGTTCATGTGTCCGTTGTCTGATCATCATTGTTCAAGAGGTACTCGACGAGCGCCATTCGCATCCGTCGATAAAATGTCGATGTTTAATCCAATGTTAAAGATAGGTTCGCATACTCGTCATTCACAGAGAACAGATTTATTCAACGCACAAGTAATATTATTAGACGGAATTTTTCGAGATTCCATATCACGTGATGCAATCGGAAGTATGCAGATTTGAAGGTATTGATATTAATTTACGCGTTATTTTTTCGCTCATGCGTTAGATCATTGTTGCATTCGAGAATATATGGTATACGAGTACCGTATTTAATGGTAATACGCCAAATCATACATTTTTTTCACTATCTTAGCAATTGCATACAGCCCGTTAAGAAGAATAAATGAGAAAATTGTTGATTGTGATTTTAAAGATAGAAATTAAGCATAATATAAATTTGTACATATTGTCTGACAACGTATTGGCGTTTTGAGGAGCAGTAACGATCTCGCACTGCCCGATAGAATGTTCGCTCCAATTTCCTGTCATTCATATTGTATCCCAGAGATAACGTATTCCATCTCGATTCAATTGCCGAATATAGACGTAAATAGTTATAGCGCAATAGCAATAATCGAATTATATATTTTTAAGTACACAATATCTCACTACTTTCTTTTATACGTATTTTCTTTAGTGCATCAACTTTTGTACGATTTTACAAAGAAGTTGACATTCTTTTTATAAAAATATTTCACAGATTTTAGTTTCCTCGACCTCACACACACACAGTCGCCTTCACACGTTTGCACAAATACCAATCACATTTGTCGCCGTTGTAACTATTATCCATTTGTCAAAACTGATCCATTTGCGTGAAAGGTTCTCAAAACGCAAAAATCTATTAACGATGATATGTGGTAGCATATTTTACAAACTGACAATTGTATGCATTATAAATTATTTTTATATACCTTTTATCAATGAAAGAATATGAAGGATACTGTCCATGATATTTAAACAAAATGACGAGAATATGAAGCATATATTTTTTTATATCTGGAAGAATTTTCTTATATATAATTTGTGCACGATATAACTTACACTGATTTCAACAATCAATGCGATCAGTAAATAGCACAAACAATACACAGGTTAATCAAACGTTTAATTTATATCAATCACTGGTCATTGTAATTTTGCAATAAATGATTGTATAAATTTATCCTGTACAGTTTTTTTTCTTTTCAGTTATAATCGAACTTTCAGCAAATTTATTAGGGGAGTAATTAGCAGTATACGCAAAATAGTGTTAATTTCATTAGATGTATATATATATATTTTTTAATATTTATATCTTAACGTTGTATGTACAAGTCAATTCTAGCTCCCTATCTATTTATACCAGAAAGATACAAATCTTTTCTAATTGAATATTATTGCGTTAAACCACTTTTCGTGGATAGTTTTAGTAACGTAAATTAATAATTTACAGATTGTACACACATTCACCTTGCGCGCGTGACGGCACATCACGCTATTGTTACGGCGCTCAAGCATACGTTACGGTATTATGTATATAACATAAAAATTTAATAAATAATTAAATCCATGCGATTTCAAAATCGCTCTTCGGGAAGACGTAGACCCTTCTCAAACGAATTTGAATTCGAAACACTGCTAAAGCAGCATCCAAAATACGAAGATGTAAAAAACATCTGAGAGACATCTGAAGAATTGTCTACGGCGTGACTTACTATTCAATATCCGATCATCAAAGTGCTCGTGTGAAAGGGGTCTTACAGGACATTATCTATAATGTTTTCGGCACCGAATGAGCTTTGCTAAGAGAATCGTCGGCGAGATACGAAGTCGTTTTCGAGTTCGTGCCGACCGAGCACGGGTAAAAAAATAATTAGTTGTACTCTATCGTAAAAAAAGACAGCGGAAGCGACGAGGCACGTATCAAGGCGTTCTACCGCGATTGACGGTATACAAAAAAATAACATTATACATATACGTATATACACGAAGATACGATTCGTCGAAGAATGTCGAGATATTCGTTCGTATCTGCCGACTGTACGCGCGGCTTAAGTAATTACAGGTAATAATTAAAAAAAAAGAAGAAGAAGAACGTCTCCTGACTAGAAACTTGTGTGGTCGAGCTGCAGGAGCTGGAAGGAGTATTCAGCGGCAGTATACGAGTGACGAATCGTTCATCACCCAAAATCGACGTTTCCAGTGCACCTCGGTAGATGCTCGTCTACAGCCTGGATGCGGATTAAGGCACTGTTGAACGCTAATGAGATACTCGGCAGAAGTCGAAACTGCGTCCACAGACTATACCGAGCGAATTCACGCAACGCGATTATCGCCATTTGCCCGATTATCAGAAGACCAAGGCGTTTCTCATGATTCAACCGCATAGTTGAGTTCAAATTCGCCTACGGTACCGGCATAGCCAAGAAGTCGAAAGTTTCGTCAGAACGAAGGTGGACAGTTGTGATCCTTAGTGATCCTCGCCTTGCTGGAAGTGACCGTTTCGATTCAGCGGTTGTCTCTCTGGCGCGTCGGAGGGCCTGTTTCTCTTGAAGAAGCCGCACTGTAAATAATAAGAGACGAATAGATTATTGTCGATTCATCCTGACTTTAGTCACTCAATATTATCAATATTGAAGACTGAATCAACTTGTACGGGAGAAAATTAACATATTATTCATTATTAATCAATCGGACGAGCGTTACTTATTTGTAGAAAAATTTGGAAAAGTGTCACTTGCAATTTTTCCACATTACATTCGCTGGACTCACTTTATAAAGCAGGTAAATGAGCAGCAAGAGGATTATCATTCCCGCGCAGGCCGACAGGACCACCACCCATATCGGAATCATATCCGGAACAGCAGGCGCCGCGCTTGGCTCGATGTTCGTCACGACTTCGTCGCTCCTGACGACCTGTTCAGCAGGCGTGCCGATGAACGGTTGCTTCGTGACACGTGCCACCAGCTTCGTCGACACCTTCACCTTCTCCTCGAGGGCGACTTCCTTCAAAGTCCGAGCGTTGACGCGATACCTCGAGCTGATCCAGACCTCTTGGTCTTTTTTCAACGGACCCAACACGCATCGCAACATAACGCACTTGGCCGCGTCACACGGCGGTATTGGTAGTTGCGACTTGGGCTCGCTTTCCTGATAGTAATCGTCATCTTGGAATGACGTTGCGTCCGACGGGAAGTCGTCCGTCTCCAGGTCTCTTCGATGTCTGTGGAGCGATTCGAATTTCTTGAACTCCTCGACGTCAACCATGTCGCTCTCGCGTCTGTATCTCGAGCTCGGGAAATTAGGATCCGGTCTGTTAGTAGGGAATTCGTCGTTAAACTGTTCACGATTTCTTCCGTAGACTCTGGTGTTAGTCGTTCTCTCTTCCGTTCGTTTCTCCTCATGTGTACGAGTATTATATCTGTTTTCGTAACCGCCGTCTGAAGTTGCACCGAGACTGGATGATTCCTCGTGCCAAGATTGACTGTAAGTTCCCTGATTTTGATTGTCAGCGTGACCACCTTGATAGCTGTCGTGCGGACCACGCAAAGTGTACGTTCTTTCCTCAGTGTGTGTGAAAGAACCCTGAAGAGGGAACTTTCGACCATCCTTCAACACGATGTATCCCTTGCCGTCCGGAGTAATAAGCAGCTGGCCTTCTATCCTGAGGAATCGACTGTCGCGGGGCTCCGTGGATTCCGAGATGTAGCTTTGCCCACCGTAACGATCTTGAAGTGGGAACGTAGAGCCGTCCTGGAATTCTATGTACTCTTTTCTGTCAGCGGATGTCCTGAACCTCGCCTTGAACTGAACATACTGCTGCCCCTGTCTGCTGTATAGCTGGTAACCAGTTGCATCTTTCGACAACGTGCCGAAGATCCGCTCCAGTTCTTGCGTGGAGCTGACATTGTGCAAACCAAATTCCCGACTTCCGATTGTCTCCTCGCGATCGCCAGTGATAAAATCATCTTCCGTAGTCCGATGACCACCCGTAGTAGTCACACCGTATTCCTCGTTGTATCTATGTTCCCTCTCTTCCTGCAGGCGTCTTTCTTCTTGCTGTCTTCGCCGTTCTTCTTCCTCTATTCGCCGCTCTTCTTCTCTTCGCCATTCCTCTCTTCGTTCGTTTTCCTGCCGACGCCGTTCTAACTCCTCCTGATGACGTTGCAGGGCGATGATACGTTCTTGTTCCTCCTGCTTGCGCTCCTCCTGCAGCTTCCTCTGTCGGGTCTCCTCTTCTTGCCGCAGACGAGCCTCCTCCTCCAGCCTCAGCAACTCCTGATACTGCCTGTCGCTGTCAGTCATAACTGAGTCGTACCTTCCCGGAGGTAAAACTGTATGCCCTCGTGCTTCACTGCTCTCCTCCCAACGATTTTCCACCCTAACGGATTGATTCGTACGAGTTCCATAGGACTGTTCGAGATCGGGCAACCTTGAGCCAAAGGATCCCTCCTCAGATCCACGAAATCCTCCGCCTAACGTCGTGGAACCATAACTGCCACTTGATTCTGTGTGAAAAACAACACCGCCGCGATTGCTGGACGAACCACCGCTACCGCTCGAACTAGTTCCGGAAGAGTTGTGCGTGTACGTCGTGGTGAGCACTTCAGGTTTCTCTCCCGTGGGGTTGAGCTGAATCCTCCTAGTTTCGGCGGTACTAGAAGAAGACGAGGAGGACGAGGAGGAGGACGACGACGAGGAGTGTCGTGATTTCTGGATATTGGAGCTGTCGCCACTACTAATCTCGGCCTCTTCCTTCTGATTTACTTTGTTACGGTCTATCTCGAAGCCTCTTTGAACATTAATCGTCCTGCCTGATTGCGACTCGTCCAGGATTACGCCGGAGTAATCAGGGTAATTAAGGTGCACTCTTCTGCGCTGATCGAGCTGCAAAATACGTTATTATGACTCATACTATCGTACATGGATATGCAGAGAAATAATTTTCCGCACTATACGTACCTTCAAACTGAGATAATTCGCATTGGCAGATTCGCAAGCGATCGGTCCCGCGGTCTCCGGTTGTTCCAGTAAATACATGAGTATCTTGCCGGATAAAGTTTGAGCGGGCCATACAAGGAAAGCCTCCGCCTCGACGATATCCGATGGGCCCTGATTGCGAATCGTATAATTGTGCGTCACCGCTGGTCCCAATTCCAGCTCCGTTGTAATATTCGCGGCAGTGTAATTGTCGGGATTATAATAGAGATCCTTGGGCTTGCTCTCACCGTCGACGCGCAAATCCGTCTCTATCCAAATCGGCAGTGACAAGTGCTCTCTATTATCGTAGGCAGTGTTGGAATCTTCGGGATTCGTAGTGTTGACGTGCATATCGAACTCGTAGATGGGCTTCATCCCGTGCGACGTCACGGGCTGAAGTAGCACTTTGAACTTGACCAGCTTCCTCTGTGGCAGTGGATTTCCGATATCACAGCGTAGAGTGTTGTTGTTCGACTGCTTGGGCGCGGAGCAGTGAACGGGAATCTCCATAGTCTCGACGCGTTCGATCTTGATGTAATCGATGCCGGCCGGCAGCTGCAGATTGTACGTTGCCTCGAACGCGTCCTCGCCCGCATTTTGAACCAGGACTTCGAGTTCCAACCTTTTGCCAGATCCCAGCAAGTATCTGCCAACGTTGGACCTCACGCTGAGCTGTAAGTCGGGTATACAGATGTTGTCGGGGCCGCAGTTCTTTCTGATAGAGAGAGTATCCTTCCTGGAGGTCGTCGCGCCGAGGACTGGTCTTAGTGGCATTCTAGGATCACGACGGCGATTATCCGGAATCCGTTCCTCCTCCAGACTCATGCGCATCTCGGCGTCCAACGACGTTAGCTTGTCGCGAATGTTAGGAGTCACGTACACCTTTAAGACGATGTCAAAATTATAAGACTTGGAAAAAGAAAACATTATATATGATTAATATCATCTGCCTACTTACCTGAACTGTACGACAGAACTGGCGATCGCGTTCGACCGTGATCGTGTGATTCATCGTGTTCCTGCCCTCCAACTCCAGGAAGAACAATCTCGGATTCTTCGTCTTCTTCACGTCGAGTACATACTGTATATTGAAATTGTGCCTCATGAGAACACCCTCTCCTGTGAATCTGAAGCAAGCCCTGAGCGGAAAACACGTGACTCTGGTGTTGTCCGAGAGCGTGCAGTTCCTGTTGTCCAAGGAGATCAACTTGGATTCCGAGTCGAAGGTCACGTAGGAGTCCATCTTGATCACCGGTCGTGATCTGGAGAACGCAGAAAAGTCAACGATGCAATCTACAGGCCCCTGCTCGACACCGAGGCATCGAGAATCAAAGGACGATTGATAACAACCTGAAAAACATCGCTGCCCCCGACTCGTATGCACCGACTACTAGATCTGGATAAACATTGCCATCGAGGTCAAGGCCACCGGCCACGGAGAATCCGAAGGTCTGCACGGGGTTGTCCAGATCCTCCGCGTGGATCACCTGGGAATACTTGTCCAGTACCCCGGTCCGTGAGCCGTGGTAGATGTAGACGGCACCGCGACCGTTTGGACCACCGTAGGGCGCGCCGACGGCGAAGTCACCGTAACCGTCACGGTCGATGTCCCCCAGTGAGGCCAGCGACAAGCCGAAACGTCCGCGGTTGCTCTCGCCGTCTCTGGATAACGATAAGACTTTATCGCCGCGGTTCAACGACTTGCGCGACGCAGGGCTCATTTAACCCTTCGGGTCGGAGAGTTAATGAACTTGAGGAGCGGAGATATTCCCGCGTCTCCGCTCTACGGAGGATTTTTCTCTAAATGTATTTTTTTTTTCGTAAATATGTAACGTAAGATATTTTGCCCCCTCCCCCTCTTTTCTCTCTCATTTTCTAAAACGAACTCGAGGAGCTTCATTACCTCGTGTCGAATTTGCGAAACTTCTCCGCACCATCGCCCTGATAGATAACATAGATTCTTCCGGTTTCGATGGTCATTTCCGGGTTATCTGGAACAGTGTACATGGGTGCACCGACTATCAGGTCATCCAACCCGTCTCCGTCTATATCGCCAGCAGCCACGGCGTAACCGAAGTAAGCACCCATTTGTTCACCAGTGAGATTTCGTGGATTCGTCATATTCGATGTGAAGAGTATGACCTACAATTACATTTTTGCGTCAGCTTACGTCCGCAACAGATATTACACTCGTGCAAAAGTCTTATCTCAGTTTTGCAAATTTAGATCCTCGACTGAAGTTTCACGCGATAGGCACTTGCAATTTAAGAAGCATATACTCTGCGTTTTTAAGTAATTTAACTTCAGAGAGAGTTGTTAAATGTTAATCCTGCGTCTGACTCACTTTATCTTACGACATTCCTTGCGTTCATCGAGATTTAGATGTGTACTTGAATTTTTTAATATTGCGATTATTTTTCTCTTCTTTGCTTTTGCTTCTACCCTTGAAAAAATACACGCAATCATACGTTGACGGTCCGAAATAACCATCAAATTGAGTGTAAACCTTCATGAAACACTCGATCCCAGTCA